ACATCTCTAGTCGGATTTTCACCAAGGTACAAACCTAACTCATATCAGTGCTACTTGTTTTGCAAGACTTGTCTCAATTCTCTAAAACTTGACTTTCTTTCTCTAGTACAGCATCACTCTCACCAAGTGGGAACTCACACTGTCATTATGTACGTCCACATGCTGTTGCTCTCACATATGCAGTGTCGTCTCCATTAAGATGCTCAACATGAGTTTTTATTTCTTTTTGGAGGGAGTGACGGGCAATTTCATCAATCGAGCATAAACTGGCATACTCAGAAAAGCTCTTTGAATACTGTTTGACTATTTTCTGAGCAACAGCACAGCACTGTGCTTTGCTTTGCTTTGTTACCTCATTTCATCGACAAGGACACAAATCATTTTACAGTGATCGGGGTTGAGAAGTCTACTCCCATTTGCTACTGCACGGCATAATTCACTTGGTATTTGGCCCCAGGGAACCCGAAATGAGTCACCCCACATAATGGCAGTGGCTGAACAAAAGGTTGGTGAGCTCATGTTGTCCGAGGTGACAGTGGAGGAGGAAGATGGCAATTTTGCACCAACATCACCAGATGCATTTGTTCTGTAATTAATAAAAAAAACGAAATAAAACGCACCAACAAAGATACTACAGACATTACAGTAATAAAAATGTGATATTTTAGGACATTTCTACCTTCATAAAATCCACAGAATACCACAGTAAGCTGTCTTAAAGCAGCTAGGAGCTTACAAATCTGATTGGACAGGAGTATATCTGAAGGGTCCACACCAGGAGCTTCTTCCACATACTTAAGATCGTCTGTGCATTCCACAACCCAAGATAGAAAGAATACCAGGCAGCACTCTGGAAATAGCCGTCTGTACCTCCTCCTCCAAAGTTTAGGACATCCTTTTAGGTAAGAAAAGACTGAGTACTGTACTGACAAGCCACACAGCTTGTACCTTTTTGCAGGTGCCTCAGAAAGGCAACGAAGGCCCTGATCAGCCAGCATTAAAAAATAAAGCTCTCTAAGATAACTTGTACAGCATCTCTCTGATGATAAGTCCATCGCTTGGATTTCTCCAAATACAGTTCCATTGTCACATTTATAAAGCATAAGAAACATGTTTTGTTGTATGCAGTCCCTTTCATTTCTGCCTCATGTCTAGCTTACTGTTCAACTGGGCAACAGCTTCTCCCATATCCTCACTGTAATGTGTAATAATCGGTTCCCTTATCAGCAACAAGGGAAGGAAACAGACTGCCAGCATTCAAGCAGGCTAGAAGTAGCTGATGTTTTTCAGCAAGAGTAGAACACGAGTTTTTATAGTCGTGCTACTTTCTTGAACAACTGGCAATTTAACACTGGCAGCAATCACAGAAAACACCATTTCTAAATAGCTTATCACTTCTACTATTTGTCTCTTATGGGTTGTTTTGCGCATCATTGCCTTGGTACCTGAGCTAAAATAGCCTTCTGTTCAGATTCACTGTGAAGTGCTTCTTAACTTTAACCAGATCTCACATAATATGTAGTATAGTAGTATGATTTAGCAGTTAATCAAACTTTACCCCCTTTTCTCTGTTCTAAATTATTGACCTGGACACAAATGTGGGTGGATCAATTTCATAAAACCTGCAAAAGAAGAAACTGTAGCTGAAAGTTTTGACACAGCAAGCTAGCGGGCGAAAGTCATGTATTTTTCTTAAACTCCTTTGAATAACAGGAACAACAATTTCCCTGCAATGTCAGATAAAACGGGGCCAGATTTTTTCTTTAAGAACATGGCATTTCCTGATTTTTCCAAGCAACTGTCTGTATGTCCCGTTGTCATTTCAGCTGACCAGTAATTCTACTTGGAAAAGTTTAGCTGCTGGCGATCTAAAATTCACAAACTGTGTGAAGAAAAATAGCATAATAAGCACCAAGATACAGTTTGCATTAATACGTCAAACATCAAAGACAGAAAAATCATACTTGTTATTCATCTCTGGCTATTTTCCACCGCATGTCTTTTATTCTGTCTTTCTGTCTCCCTCCCTGAGCCTGGTTCTGCCAGAGATTTCTTCCTGTTAAGAGGGATTTTTTTCCTTCCCACTGTCACCAAAGTGCTTGCTCATAGGAGGTCATATGATTGTTGGGTTTTTCTCTGTATGTATTATCGTAGGGTCTACCTTACAATATAAAGCACCTTGAGGCAACTGATGTTGTGATTTGACCCTGTATAAATAAAACTGAATTGAATTGAATTGAAGCACCCCCTTTTCACCACAGTTCTGTATTTTTCATATCACTTATCCATTAAAAGCATTCAAAACAAAAAGATTATTATTTTGTTTTATAGTTTTTGCTTTATTCATGTCAGCCATTAAAAATATGTATATGAATAATTTTCAAAGTAATATTCTGTCAAGTGGCAAAAACAATGAAAAACAATGGCTCTAAAACAGATTAAAGGATACATCAGGTTTACAAATCCAGATGAAGTGAATAGAAACAAAGGAAGGATTTTATGTAACATGAGCATGAAAGTGAATGAAATCCAGCATTAATAGGCAGCGATAGCTCAGTAGGTAGAGTGGTCACCCCATGATTGGAAGGTTGGGGGTTTAAATCCACTTACCAGCTACTCTAAGGTACCCCTGAGCAAGGTACAGTCCCTATAGTCCCTGCTCCCCAGGCGCTGGATTGGTGGCTGCCCACTGCTTCACTAAGTGAATGGGTTAAATGCAAAGAGTATTTTCCCCACGAGGATCAATAAAGTATGTGTTATTAAATTGCTTGTTTTACATTTTATGAGTTATGCCTCTTTTTCATTCCAACCCGAAAGATAAGGGAAGTTTAAAAAAATGAATGTTAAAAGATTTCAAGAATCTGTTCCATAAATCAGTCATTGGATATATGTTTTAAATCTTTAACTTGTTCTATTTTTCTGGGGTGCAAGAGTAGAACAGTGTACACCTTTATTAATTATTAATTAATTAAATTAAAACACAGTCTTACTTATCTAAAGAGCCTCATCTGAATAAAAAATGCTGCTGCAAGTTAAAATGGCTCTCTTTGTACCTATATACTCTCACCATCCACCTTGCTAGTACTGAGTTAAACCCCCTCTTGCCCTCAGAACCTCATTTAATTCTTTATGGCAGGACTCAACACAGTACTGGAAACATTCCTCAGACATTTTGATCCATATTGACGTGACGGCATCACAAACTTCCTGCAGATTTGTTGGCTGCACATCCATGAACTGAATCTGCTGTTTCACCGCATCTCAAATGTGCTCTTTTGGATTGAGATCTGGAGACTGTGGAGGCCGTTTGAGTGCAGCAAATACATGTTCGTGTTCAAGAAATCAGTTTGAGATGATTTGAGCTTTGTGACATGGCGCAGTAAGCTGCTGGAAGCAGCCATCAAAAGATGAGTGCACTGTGGTCATAACACAGTGCTGTGGTCAGCAACAATACTGAGGTAGTGCAGGTGTTTAAGGGGCTTAAAGCGTGCCAAGAAAAATTGCCATACATCATTACACCACCAACAGCAGCCTGAACAACAGCCTGCTGAAGGTAGGACACTACTATCAAAATGTTGCAGCAGAAATTGAGACCCTTCAAAGTGGCAACTGCAAAACTGCTGCTCACTGAATATTTTCTCTTTTTCAGACCACTCTGTAAACCCCAGCAATGGGAAAACCCGACCAGATCAGCAGTTTCACATTCAAAGTCACTTAAATTAACTTGCCTCCCCATTCTGATGCTCAGTTTGAATTTCAACAGCATGCCATATGATTGGGTTATAAGATATTTTGTTAACAAGCAGTTAACCTGCTAAAGTGGCCAGTTAACTTAAAAAACAAGAACAAAAAAAAATCCCATTAACTTAACTTACATTTTATGGGCTGTGAACAGAGACTTAACTTCAGGCTTGGTAATTGGTGCCAGTTGTCTGCTGGGTGGGTTTAATTCGCTTTCCAGTCTTGGACTATACACATCCCAGACACTCCCATAATGTTTAGCTTTTATATATTCAGTTCTGAGCTTTCTTATCCAAGGTGAAGAAGTGTAGTGCTGAGATTATCTATCATATTGACTTCAAGCTTTTTCTTTACTGGTGTAAACAGACCCGTATGTCTTCTATCAGCTTTTCTTAAACCAGATATCAGCACCTAGTTCTCTTGATCTTGACCACTCAGTTCTTCTCTGTTTGAGTTGAGTTGAGTTGAGTTGAGTTGAGTTCCTCCCTCTATGAACTAACTCACTGTTTATTATCCAGCAGATAATGCTGTCATCAGCATACCTTTTTTTAATGAAAGGCAGTCCAGTAAACAACCAGCACTCACTGACAGCTCAACAGTAAACAGTAAGTAAAGTTTCTGACATTGTCGACAAAGCGGCTAGTTTACAAGCTTAGTAAAAGCAGAAGCATATATATTTTGTTGGACTGCAACAGTTAGCTCTCAACCCGAATGAACAACCTGTTTAAAATCATTTTGGTATTGGTAAGGAGTGGCTTTCCAAGAAAGGTGGCTGCAGAAAGGAATAAACCCCTGTGCCCTCGTCAAATTTACCAGACTATGGACACTTGTGTCAAAAATGCTTATAAATCATCATACATTAGCCTTGTATATTTTTAGTGGCAGTCACATAATGAAATTGTTGTTTTCCTTTCTAACCACTAGAGAGCAGCCTTTGCTATGTTATTGAGTTTGACCGGTCATATTTTTAAAGGTATTCTTTTTCTGCATATACTCTCCCTCTTTTCTCTTTGGGTGTGTGTGAGCATGTGTGTCTGAAACACAAAGGGGATTTCAGCTTGAGACAATAGTGTGACCATATGGTCTCCCTGGCCTGTAAATCATCATGTGGTCCAGTGCCAGCTTCCATGAAAACTACTCCACCTTCCTAAATTCTCTCTCTCTCAGATCTTCTTTACGAAAACATTCAAGTGCACATGGTCTTAAACTAATACTGACTTCAGATCCCTGTTCACTTCACTGCAATCAAAAGCGGGCTGATGCGAAAGAGACTCAGAGAGGTAAGCAGAAGGGGAGCAGGGGAGCTGGAAAAGGGGGGAATGCAAAGAAAAGATATTAAATCAAATAAAAGAAAACTTAAAGACTGTTAAAGCCGGCTGCAAAAATATTCACCCTCAGCGGAGGAGACAGAACAAGGCAACGAAGGAGAACGCTAACAAGGGAATAACAACAGAAGGAAGGAGTGACAGAGGCCCTGGTAAGATGTTTTTCCTCAAGCAGTCAGGGGATAGAAAATGACTTGTTATTCTGCAATAACTTCCTCAACTGAAAGCTGAATGTTCTCTCAGTGTAATTCAACCCTCTGCTTCCTCTCTGATGGAAAATCATTTTCTTTGGTGCTTAAAACTCAATGAGCTGCATTGTTTCCCGCTACATTATGAGAATGACTGGAAACAGGGTAAAAGTCAGAAAATTACAGCACAGCAGAAAGAACAATTAGATTCAAATGCACTGATTAGCTGTTCTGGGTTCTGGGTAAACTGATCATTTTCTGCAACATTTATCTTTATTCGATTTTAACTTAATATGAGGAAATGTAAAGGAAGATACTGGAAACATAAAATATGTCGATTCGTCATTTTCCTCTTACAGCCCCACTGGGTGGTTCAACCATGAAGTTGAACATCATTTGTAGCTTGTTTCTGCTCCTGGGTGTTCAAACAGTAAAGGTATGTTTAACTTAATCTGCCTAATTTTGGCTTTCCACAGAAAAAAGGGTCAATGTAAATATTACTAATGAGTGAAAAGTAAAAATATTTGAAATTATGTTCTCCTGACTTTTTTCTGTTCCACTCATCAAGTCTGTTTTGTCACAGGTGTTAAAAAGAAAATTTGTGAGTTATAGAATGTGGCTCCAGTATTAAAGTCACCTGTTTCACATTTGATCTGGGAAGGATTTAGGGGCAGATGTGGACCTGGCTGAGACTACAAAGTTTGGAAATATCAGTATGGAATTGAGGTGTACTGTGAGAGCAGATTGATGTAGAATGGATGCCCATTTTTATTTTGGCTTTATGATGTGTGCTCTTTACAGTACAATGATGCCAAGAAGCTGACTTTTTTAATGGTACAGAATATTAGTTTAAAATGAGAATGAAAAGGAAATTTATGCCAGAGTTCGGTGCTGCCACTAATGATTTTAGCCGCAGATAAAACATAAATGCCCGCCTTTTTTTGTCTATTAGAAAACTGTGTGTGTGTTTCAGGGAGGCAGAGCCCAGCGCAAACAGAGACAAGCTGAAGAGCGCCTGAGACCTTACATTGGCAGAGTTAAACCAGGTAAGAGGAATGCCACATGACTGCATGCAAGTCCCGTGCACATTCCTCTTTTTCTAAATGTGCAGAACTAGAAAGTGATCAAAAATACATTAACATTTTCACATACCTGGTCAGTATTCGAGTCACCATCCAGAACTGGCAGGAACTGTCATGGATGCATGATACACATAAACACGATGAACACTCTTAAGCATATATTAACATAAAGAAACTATAGCCAGAAATTCTGAAGACAAAATAGGTCCTAACCTAGTAATATCAAGTTGAAACTAATAAAATGGCTGGTGAGTGTCGATGTAAAAGTAAGTTGACACAAGGTTGTTTTTCTATTTCTGCTTCAGAAAAGCTTTGTGAGCTGCTGAAATGCCATACTCCAGTGGGGTCTTGGTGCCAGGTAGTTCAAGAAAACGGAATTCTCATCCCCAAGTGTGTTTGTCCTCAGTCCTGTCCACGGTAAACAACATTTGGTTCTTTAATCATTTTCAGGCTTTAAAATATTTTGTCCTTACAGGAAGTTTATACTTATATGGGATTCACAAATATATGTAACTTTTGGAAAGACATGTTAAGGTAAAGCAGTAATCTGGCACATTGTACACTACATTCTCACATGTGAATTTTGTCTGTGGCTCATGGAATCAGGCAGAGGGCACCAGTGTGCAGTGTTGTGGGAAAGACCTATGAGAATGAGTGTTGGCTTCATAAAGATGCCTGCAGAAAGAGGCGCCGCACCGGACTCGCTCACACAGGACCCTGTCTGGGTAAACACGCATAGCATTAGACATTACACACGGTTTCCACTGTGTATCACAGTCTTCCAAATTAGCTCTGATGTGCCTTATGATCAGTCCCCAAGGGTAAATGCACCGAGGAGGAGTTAGGCCAGTTTCCATATCGTCTCCTGGACTGGTTTCTGCTCTTGAGTCGTATGGGGGAATCCTACGCACCTGCTGCCCCACCCCAGAGCTGCCTGAACCACACCCAGAGGACACAGCTGGCACAAGTAACTCATACTTCACACTTAAAGTGAGCCTGTTCAGCAGGTTAACAGGGATAAGAAGATAACTGTGAAGTAGTAAACATAATCCATGATCTATGATGACCTCAGCCAGTGATGATGGAAATAAAATCCTTTCCATAAAGTGAAAAGAAATTTTCCCTTTCACTGTAACCAAACACTGAACATAAAGCTGTTTTTCATGACGGACACCATCTTTGTGCTAGATACAAACTGCCCTCCATGGGTCTAGTGACTGATCGATGATAACAACCTACCATAAGTGGTAAGTTCTTATGTTGCTTGTGGTGTGGTTGTCCACAGACTGGGACAGGGGCTCTTAAGACACCGCGTATAAACAGTATTTGGTCAATATTCACTAAATTATTCAATAACATGGTGAATAGGGGGATAACTTAATATCCTCTGTCCATTCTCTTGACCTCCTGGCCTCAAATGAATTAAGTGAAAGCTCACTGCATTATTTCTATGATACAAAAACAAATGTAGAGTGTTTTGGGATAGTGTTACATCATAAAATTCCAGCATTATGGATTTTTCAGCAATGCTGATTCTAGCATGAGAGAAATAGAACTGCAGCCTACTGTGATACTGTAATAGCAACAGTGCGAGTGAACAGGTGAAGCATTTACCGTGTTTCCATTTCCTGTTTAGCTTGGTAGCATGCTAACAGTCTGATGGGAGAAAGACAACAGGTCTTTTATATAAACAAAAACATTTCTGTAATTAAAATTGGAAAAATTTCTGTATTTTTATGAGACTTTAATGAGAATTTCTGTGGTGAAAACTGCAGTAAATCCACAACAAATCTGTTATTTAATAAACAAATCTATGTAAAATTAAAGAAACTATAGTTCTGTTAGTGCCATTTAGTATCACTTCCGTTATCTCATATTTAGATATGTTACACTATTAAACTAGGATTTAAAAGTTTAATCTATTATTATTATTATTTTAAATTTTGGGCTGTATTTTTGCAGTCTTTTTATGCCCTTACACATTTTTTAAAAATTAAAAAAATAAGAATGATTTTTACACATTTTTCATGTTATTTTTGTTCAGCATGTTAAATCACCTTTAATTTATTATTTTATTTTATTTCACTAGAATTTTCATGTCATTTCATGTATTTAAAATAACAGGAAAATTCTGTAAGATGTATAGGAAATATTCTGTTAAATTACAGAGTTTCATGGGTTTATTGATTGATTAATTTGTTTCTTTTTGTTTCTTCTATGTTTTCGGAGAATGAATCATAGATGCGTGGGACTTTAGAGTTTGAAAAGTAAAAGGCAATGTAAAAGTAGCTTCTTTCTAACTTTCGAACTACCTTCACTAACCAGTGTGTGATGTCACAATGACTCTGTCCATCTTTTTATACAGTCCTTGACCAAAACCACCATTGTGGTCGGCTGAATCTCCTAGTTAACATCACCCATGACCCATGATCATTTATTGTATTTATATGATATGACATAAAGAAACTGAAAAAACAAGTATTGAGTTGAATAGTGTGCTTTCTCTCTCTCCCTCTTTAGAAAAGATTTACCCTGTTGGACAGGAATAAAGATGGCAAGTTGAGCCGCAGGGACCTGAAGAAGCTGCATTATAAGAGGATGCCTTTGGAGCACTGTGCTACACCATTTTTTCAGTCAGTCCTGCCTTCACCGGCCTTGCTGCATCACATAATGATTAACTTTCTTGTCTGATATTTAAATTAATTAAATATTGGGCAGTTTATTGGGGGAGGGGGGGTGGTGGTAACATCCCTCTATAGCAATCTCACAAGTTGTGTGTTACATGCATGTACTAGAAGCCAGCAGATGATAGTGAAACATCTGGCCAATTTGATAAGTATCACAATTTTAAATATGGCCATTTTAATGAGTTGATGAAATCTTACTCAAGACCATTGCTGTTTCCTATGTCCATATTTCATCACCTCATGTGACACAAGAGGTTTGTTGGCCTAATTGAAATCTTCTGTCTTTTGCAATATGCTATTGTTTGGCTAATTACAGAAATACAGAGGGTTAAAAATGTGACACCGAGATGCAATTCGCCCCCGCTCTGACCAAGCTGCACCTCCCACCATGCTGTTCTCTCTGCATGCCATCTATCCATTCATTTCCATGCCAATCCTGTATCCTCCTCCCTTTCGATCTCATGACCACACCATCTCTCCATTATCATACTCCTCCTCCATGCCGAAGCATTTCCTCTTCTTATCTGTGCTTCCTGTTTTTCTCTCATCTCTGATACAAATGCATTTATCCTCAGCCTCCCTTTCTGTCAGCCAGTTATTCCTTTTCACTCTTCCCTCATTCTTCCTTCCATCTCCTTTTTCTTCTCCCATCCGTACTCCCACCCAACCCCCCTTTTCTCTGCCAGTCTGCAATGACAAGTTTTGTGGGAGCAGGGCTGGCTGTGTCAATGTCAAGCCATTCCCAGCAATGATAATGTTTATTACCAACTGTGCCTCCCGCTGCCCATGGATTAACACAAATTGAAGGAGTACCCTTCAGGGATAGTGCTGCACTGTGAACTGAAAGACAATGGCTGCTGAAGAGCCCCAGTGCAGTTCCTTTCCACACCTATAGATATTTAAACTATAAACTACATCTCTGTATCGTTGTGTATGTGACTGAATATAGGATGTGTTTCTGTAAATCATCTGTTTTCTTCTGTGCTATGTTTGCAGGTCATGTGATCGTAACAGGAACAGGAAGGTGACCCTCAATGAGTGGACAGCATGTTTGGTGGATCGTTCTGAGGCCTGGTTCTATCAATTAATGTGTCAGTAACAAGTTCTTACCTACATTTTGCTGTAATTCTTCATAGTCACACACAGCGGTTTAATTAGACTACAGATTAAATTTCTTTATCTCTAATCAAAAGTCCAAGTTAAAATATGCAAACTCTATTTTATGCTGTTGATGAAGAGCAAAGATGCTCCATAATTATTCTAGACAGCCTGCTTCCAGTTTTTATCTAAAATTACATCTAAATTATGACTATTGTGCTTTTCATGAAGCCTTTCCATAAAGCTGGTGGACTGCCTGAAACATGGTCAAAATACACGCACAGGAGAGAAAATATCACTCCCACCACAGCTAGAGGAGGGACAAGAGTAGGAATAAGACAGATTAAATGATTAAGGTTTAATTGTGTCTTCTTTGTATCTGAAATGTTAAGATGAGACTTATTTTCTTGAATTTAAATGTCTGAATTTGAAGAATTCTAATTAGGAAAGATATTATACAGTGTGCAGATTTTTTTTAGAAGAGTCAGATCACAATAAATCTGTGGATATAGTTTAAAGCATTTAAATGCTAGCATGACAGTTTTAGGTTCATTCTTTACCAGCTACAGTTCTCACACTTTCTATCAACCACAGATTATTTCAGAGCTATTTTCTTTTAAATATTTTATCCTTTTTTCCTGTCAAAACAGCCAGTTGTCTGCAGGGGGTTTATTTGTCTGCATCAGTGCTATTTCAAAACCTAAATTCTTAATTTTTGTTTTACCCACAGCAATGAGAATGGGTTCTGTGAAGTTGTGTCCTACAATCAAAAGGAACTACCTCTGACACATCTACTTCTTTGTCCTGTTAGGAACTTGCAGGTCATATCATGACAGTTGCTTGATTTTAAAGCTGATATTAAAGGATGACATCGCTACACACACTGACTTAGTCATTGATTTTACCTCTTCTGACATGTGATTTATGGTGTCGTGAAATCTGATGGTCTGCTGGGTGCCCGTGGGTTTTTATGTGTGCTCAAAGGGGACAATTAAAGGTCTAGACAGGCTGAATGCTAATCATATTGTTGTTAATTACATTTGCTGACATCTGTAAAACTGTTAAAAAACACACACACATATCGGAGACAAATTACACGGGATGCTTTGGATAACCAATTAAAAGGAGGATGTCACAGACAGACAGTGTGATATGCAGAGAATGTCAAAGTAGATGGGGAAAAAAACATGGGGAGAAGAAACACTTAGTGGGGGAAGACGTGACCAGAAAAGAGACAAAGAGTTAATAAAAGAGTGAAAGGTAGAAGTAGCGAAAAGTGTCATAATGCAATGGAGGAGGGCGAAGGCAAAGTGACTGAAGAAAGGAGAGAGCAGCGCAAAGTGTGTTTGCGAAAGACGGTAGGAGGTAATGCACTGTAAATGGGAGTTGAGAGTAATGGAGTAATGCATAAAAAATGGATCAGAAATGAAGGAAAGACTGAGAACGGGGAGTGAGGGGGGGGGGAATGGCTGAGAAGGCAGGAGGAACTGAGGAGACGGGGAAATGCAAAACATTTTCTTTGGAGCAAGCCCTGTAAATAGCATCTTGGAGCATGATGCGGAATGTTTGAAATACTTGACCTCTGCTAAGGTCAAAAAAACTTGCATAATGCAAGCTTGCTGACTTTTTGTGCCTGTGTACCATTTATAATACATGCTGCTTCTAGAACTCTTGTTGCATCTTGTTTGCTTGTCACTATTTTATGTGCAAATCTGTGAGAAGTTGCACATGTATGTGTGGCGTGTGTGCGTGCGTGCGTGTGTATGTGTGGCCTAGGGTGGGCTCTTTGACATGACTGGATTCTCTAGACTAATTAGCCTTTAAATTTACCATGCCTGAAGGATGAAGAGGAGAAAGACAGACACTGAAAAGGAGATGAAGAAAGGCGGGGAGATTTCGCTACCCAATATGAGATGCAGATTCAGTGCAGACATGGGGCAAACGAGGACTAAAGACTGCTTGCAGTAGATGTTTTCCAAAAAGTAAAAGTGCATCATCATAAATATCAAAACAAGATGTTTTCATTCCATCTGATTTTTCACTCAAAACTTTTGATTAAATGAAGTGGACCACTGGAGGGATGCAGTTTTCCTTGGCATATAGACGGAAAAACAAGTCTGAACTGGGAGGAGAAGAAGCATGAAGAAAGAACAAAAGCAAAGAGATTAACTGCGCTGAATAGAAGAGAAACTATCTACTAATTGTGAGTGACCTGCGGAACGGTGAGTCGTTGGTCCAGGCTGTTCGCATTGTGGAAACAAAAAAAATGAGTATAGTTCCCAGCTTCCAGCAGTAAACATCTCTTCATTCTCTCCCTTCTTCCCCAGGGACGAGTCTCTTTATCCAAACGAAACACATAATATGAGCTGCTGGGGCCACCCCTGAAGGTCCAGCATAGCCTGCACACCTCCTCCACCTCCTCGCCAATGTTCTTTCTTTGTCTTCATACCCCCTCCTCTGCTAATAGATTCCCTCTCATTACCTCTGGACCACCATCTCCACCTCCATCCCCCATCCAAACACAGAAAGGGCAGTTGCAGATTGACCCACATAATCCTACTTTACCTTCTTCTCACACCAGCCACCGCAGCCGTAAACGCACACCATCCACCTCCACTCCTACTGTCCTTGCCCCTCCTGTCTCACTTCATTTGGATATTAGAGATATCCGTGAGCCACCCACCTCTCTAACCATGTCCTCTCACCCTCATCCTTCTCCTCCTCCTCCTCCTTTGGATGCTGATCAGTGATTTGATCTGTGATGGCTTGCTTGCATCTCTTTTTCGCTTTTTGTCTCTCGCACACACATTTACACACACTCCCATGGGACTCTGACAGCATAGGAGCAGATGGGCGGCTGGTGATGACATGTTGTTAAAAATAAAGATTCCTGTTAACCCGTTGTCGGCTTGCACACCCTCTGTCCCTCCCTCATGTCCCCCCATTTCATCTCATCTCTCCCGTCAATCTCTCTCTATCGCTTTTCACACTCGGAATCCCTAATTCTTCCTTTTAGTTTAGCTTGTAACAAACAGGATGGGATTCAAATGCTACAAAACCAACTAACTTTGGCACTGAAAGCATGCAGCTCAAGACCCCCCGACCCCCAGAACATGATATTTAATACATGGCTGCCATAAAGACGTCCCCCCTGCATTATGCATGACTTGTAAGCACACATCAATAATAGATGAAAAGGCCAGTTTTGCAGTTTCTTTTCATGCAATTATGCCAAATGAAATTTTTATTCTCACTTTCTGTTTCTTTTTCTGCGAGTGGAGTTTGTCCTGTGACGATTTCGTGATAAATTATTAAAAGGCAACACAAGGGGGTGGGAGGGATCAAAAGAAAAATTCAGGCCGGTCATGATGGCAGTGAAACAGAGAGAAGATGTGTGTGTGTGTGTGTGTGTGTGTGTGGGAGAGCTTGTGTCAACCAAGCCTGTTCATCCATTCCAGGTCTGACAGATGTCCTACAGATGTCCATAGTCTGAGGAAAACAGACTACAGCATGATTCTCAAATCAAATTCTTCACCAAAACAGCATAAAAGTTGTTAGAACACAGCTCATACACAATGTTGGAGGGTATGCATTCATTAATCTCTCTAAGGTTAATCACCATCCAACCTTCAAAAGAAGCCGCCATATCGTGCTCTGCCAGATTGCCGACTTTCAAAACTGCAAAGTGGGCCAGCTTATAGAGAACGATACAGAGAGAAAGACTGGTGCCTTTGAAAGAGAGTCCAGTCACTCAAAGGGTCCTTACTTAAAAAAAAAAAAAAAAAAAACGAAGACCAGTTGTGGCCACTGAAGTGATACATTTATTAATAGCGTTCATGTGCCACATTTTTTATTCCACTTTGAAGTGATGTTGGAGGCAAAAAGAGGCAGAAGGAGACAGGGAGGAAGGGAGAGAGTGGGTCTCTCGGATTCTAGCCTGCGGTCACACAATATTCCCTCTGGGTGGAGTGGGTCCCATTCAGAGCGACCTCAATAGCCCTACACTGAAGTACCTATAGTGAGTGAGTGAGAAAAGGCCCCATCAGAAAATGGAAAAAGGGGAGTTAACACACAGCTCTCTCTATTTTCTGATGATATTGATTGAAGAGCTCAGAGAGACCAGGGTGCCATTGTGTGGAGATAAGAAATCTGGGTGGGGTTGGAGAGCCACTGAGTCTACTGAGACCTGCACTTGACCTGTGGGTGGAGGACAAGAAGCCTCCAATATGGTTGTCCCGTATAGCCTACAGAATAAATATGTCTCTGTCTGGGCTTTGAGTTTACTGCATGTACCCATTGCAAAGTGATGAACCTGTTAAACCAACTCTGAAACTAACAAACTAAGAAAGTGCTGAGACCAACAGTCAAAATACAAGTACAAATAGATGACTGATGTCAGCTATTTAAAGCTGGGAACTGATGGGAACTTTTTTCTTTCTTTTTTTTTTACAGATTAATGTTTCAGTTGGTATCAATCCACCTCTTCTTTCTGGGAAAATATGATGCGAGGAGCTAAGCAGGAAGAGTACCAAATGGGGCAAAAGGATGGACAAGTTACTGCCTATAAAATATTTCTTCATTAGTAATGCATCAATTTGCAGTTTAAAAGAAAAGAAAACAAGAAAGGGTGTGTTTATTTGTTCATTTGTGTGCCGGTGAGAAATTTTACAAGAAGAATCAGGCCAGCAGTTTGCCTGCTTCCCATTTTTGTGTTCAGGCAGACATGCAATAGCCTCTCATGTGAATCTATTTAAGGAGGATGACGTTAACTCCGTGGGTAAGCATGAATTACACTAAGAAATATGTAGTCTAGTGTGCAATGTGAAACCATATGTGGATGGAAGGGTGCAGAACGAAATATTAAGGTAAATCTAACAAGTCGGCATGCATGACACAGACCTATAAGAATAATGCACTTGACTTTTACTCACTAAATCTGAAGCGCAGACTTAGTCAGCACAACTATACCCACAGAAAGCCATATTTTCTGTCAGATAATTACATTAATAGTTTTGCAAGGCACTAACAACACAAGCTTGATTTAGACGTCCATTTAAGTTACCAGCAGACAGAAACTGGCTGCAGCTACCTGTCATTTAAACTAGCCACAAGAATAATAGTAACAATCTTAAGTTCCATAAAGTTTAAATCGGCCAGGTTAAAAACAAATCGCTGACAGTGTAGTTGCTTGTTAGGGAAAAAATAGCTACAGAGAGAAATATTGATAAAATTGACCATTTTAACATAAAATTTTCCTGCAATTTGCAAACTGCTGGAGCCAGCCTCACCTTCATTTTTCAAACTTGGAGTTTGACTCATTTCAGATAGGTATATAATAACAATTAGCAACCAAATTAGGCATGTTTTGGTATATATTATGTAGTTTGATGTGTCCTTTAATCTGATCATTTCCTTTAATTATAAGAAAATGTCACATTAAAATCAGTTTTTGGAATCTGAAGCCTATTGGCATTCTAAAATTTAATGAAACTCCACAAAATAAATATGAAAATAAAGTTTAAAACCTTATCTCTAAGTAGTACAGCATAACAAAGGATATCCTAAAGTAATTCAACCAATGAACCAAGAGCTACTGCAGCTCTTTAAATAATGAAAATATGTCGGAAAGTGCTGAAATGATTTTATTTGCTATCCAAAGTCCCTTTTCACTTTTTTATTTAACATTTGATATAAACATGCACACTAAATATTTGCATAAATCTATTAAGGGACTGATAAGCTGCTCTCCTGTTTAAATATGTTCATTTAGAGGCAGACTAACCACCTGACTGAACAAGCGATAAGGGCACAAAGACAGTGTAACCTCTAACATGCTGTCTGAAATCATCTCCTAATGCAGATGTTATCAGACCAGCCAGAGACTGGCGTGTATTGTGAATGCACTTAACTTTTACATCACCTCCCTATTCCCTAACGCTGCTCTTGACAACACATTCTCTCTCTCTCTCTCTCTCTCTCTCTCTCTTCTCATCACCACCCCCATTCAGCGACCTCACCGTCATCCCCCTCACACTCACCCACTCGCTCCCTCACTCTCAGATTGCACATACAGATATACAAACACACTCAGTCACACATGAGCCTATTTGAATTGCAAGTGAGGTCTGTTCACTACCAGGAGCAGGTAAACAGAAGGAAGAAGTGAAAAGAACGGGAGGAAGGGGGGGAAAAAAGAGTGACAGTGGGTAAACGAGAAGCGAAGAAAGCATACAGGCTTCACTGACCAGATGACATTCACAGAGTATTTAGCAGGACAAGCCTCCACGTGTGAAGGTCTCAGAGAGACGGAGGAAAAGAGTGTGGAGAGTGCCTTGGGAGCCTTGCACCACACCAAGGCACACAGGAGGTGGGACAGCCCTGAAGGAACACCTGAGCTCTGAAGAGACATCTCTTGAAGTAAGGGGTGAGCAGCGCCTCATGGGAGACGGAATCAGTGGAACACCCGACAACAACCTGCTGTCGCTCCTCCTCTCCTCGCAACCGACTCTCACCCCCCTTCCTCCTCCTCCTCCTCCATCCTCTCTCCCTCTCTCATTTGATCCCATCCCTCACTCCCTGCACCAGAGAGGGAGAGCGTGCACAGAGAGAAGGTAAGGGGATGCATGCATGCATGTTGTCCTTGCAGAGCATGTGTGTGTGTGTGTGTGTGAGTGTGTGTGAGTGCGTCAGCGTTTCAGATTTCAACTGGTTGTGTAAGTCAGCAACTTGCTTCTTTGAATCAGTTGTTTGTGTTTGTGTGTGTGTGCGTGTGTGTGGTCTCTGGAGGGTTGTTAATAAAGCTGAGACAGATGTAAAGCACTTTTAGTACGTCTTATGACTGTTTTTGCACGTTTAAAGGTTGGGGTCATCTCTCTTTTCTTTTTGACAACTAGTAGTCTTTTTGAATTATTTACAAATACACTAGTGTGACTATGAAGTGGGGCAGTGAACACAGTGAATGAAGAGCCATAAACTAAAGAAAGAGTGTGATACTATATAAAAGTGTGTGAACGACAAGCGGCGTGAGAGGTGCAGGGAGAGTGAAAGTGAGGAAAACGAGGGAAGGTTTATATATTCAAAAGTACGTGCATCGAGTTAGAAAGTGAACCGTAAAATCCTATCAAGTTGCATGGTAATTGCATGTTACCCTTCCATCATTTCGTCAACCCCCACCATGAATCACAGGCCAGTTCTTTGCTCGTAGTAGTTTGGGGGGGACAACGGATCCTGCAGGGACCACCCCATGCCATTTAATCTGTCCCTGCCCACAGATAACAGAAGGCAGATGGTCCTGCCAGAGCCGAGGGAGACAGAAGATAGCTAATACAATGTGCAGACAGATAGCACACAGAACTCAACCTGTCCCCCTGAAACTGAGCCTGCATCAACTTCTAAATAAGGGGAACAAATGAAGTGAAAAACAGACAGAAAAAGAAAAGCATAAAGAGGAAGAAAAAGATAAACAGAGCCGAGCTCAAGTATCTTTAATTAAAACTCAAGCAGTATCCAGAATAAATGCAGTCAGTTGACAGTCTGGGATAAACATAATGGAAAGAGGAAACTCGTATAAACAAAAATAACCAAAAAAAAAAAAAGAGCAGAGAGTGAGCAGGACCATCAAAGTCATGAGCTCCTGTGTATTTATTTATTGAGGGTGGTAGTTAAGTTCACTAAGCTCCCTCTCGCTCTAAGACCCAGCCTTTTCGCCTTATGAAAATTCAATTGGCCATAATTTGCTGAGGAGCCGTAT